AGCTAGCTCCTCCAAGCTGCTCTTTATTGGTAACAAAGGTGGTATTTTGGCACTAATCAAGTCTAGGACCAGCTCAGCAAAGCTGGCATTCTATATAAGATACCAGAAGCCAAACAAGGGCTCTTACTAGACAGTCTCCAATATCACCACAGCACAATGTGATGGCTCTTAAAGCTGCAATCCTTGGGGATATTTTCAGGTGGCCCAGAAATTAAAGTTCAGAATCCTTGGAATTCTTAGGTCTATAAACTATACCTATAACTTTAGCCGAGAAACGTGTGTGTCTGAACAAAGGTGGAGGAATCCTCCAGACATTGCCTTCCAACAATGATTAGAGCATGTGGTTTAATTTTTAATCAGCTTCATTTTAACAATGCGTAGGTTATCAGCAACGTAGCATACACATAGACCTGGGTTTGGCCTTTGTTGTCCATGGGGGAAGGAAGTAAATATTTTCTTTTGCTTTCAGGGTTACTCCGCCTCCTCCCTTCTGAGGTAGATTGATGTGGATTATAAAGAAACTTGCCCTCACTTTCTGCAGAAAAGGAGTCTGGTTGAGGGGATCTGAAGACGCCTGCATGAGAGTCAAAACGAGTTTTGAATGGCCTCTGAGTTGGCGGCCAACCTCCTGAAATCATATTGTCTGAAGTCCCTCGGAGTTTCTTTTCTGAGGACAACAACGGCAGTCTATTTATTGGTTTCAGTTGCTATGAAGTGACCGTCCTCAGAAGTGAGGCTGTTGCCCTTAGCTACACATTTCTTTGTGGGCATAATCTTGTAACACACAGTACCAAATCAGCATCTGGGCAAGGCAGAGACCCTGATGAAATATGAATATGATGATGATGAAATATTTTCCTAGTGTTAGCCTCCTTTTATAAGATAGGTTGTGGTTAATTCAGCTTAGAAACGCCACGTGACCTTTTCAAAGCAGAGGGTGGACTTTATTTGAACGCTGTCCTCTTCCCTCTCGAGTAGGGATTTTTTTTTTTTAATTTAATTCTGAGATGTGTCAGTTAAAATGATGTCCTTTGAATAATCTCTTTCCTGATGGCACCTACCTCATGGGGTGGATGTATGGAGTGTACTTGACAGCCAGCAGGCAGGGCTGAGGTAACTAACAGTGGCTGCTGCTTGTTCTCATCCTGGAGAAGGGAAGACTCAGATGCTGGTGCCTATCTTCAGATAATGAGTATTTTTGTTTCGTACTCTCCTCCCTCCATGCCCATCCCTCCTTCCCTCCTATCCTTTCCCATTCCACAGATCAGGTATTTACGTTCTAGATAATTGTGGAGTACATTTCTACTTTAAATTTCATTTACTCTCCTTTGTCACCTAAGCTCCTTGATCCCTCCTTTGTTTTGTATCTCATCTTCCATTTTGAGAGGACTCTTCAAGTTTTGGTATTTATTTTCAACAGAGATCCACTCTTAATTTATGCAACTTTCCATTTTGCACCAATAAGATATTGGGGGAGGGGTATCTTCATGTGTCTTCTACCCAGAATCTATTTGCACTCTTTTGTCTCCTTTTCTTAAGGCAGTTCCAAATGCACCCCATGTGTGCTGACGTCTGAAAAGGCTGTAAAATTAAAGCTACATAATTATGAATACTATGAAAAAGGTTTTGACAACTTTTGGTGGCATTTAATTCAAGTTAAACTCCTCTCATTCAAAATAATAAGCATAATGTTACTTATTATGTAAATGAGGTGGCAAGGCAGATGTTTTTCATCCTGATGCATTCACTGGGGATTAATACATACAAAAACTGAGCAGGAGGGGCCTGTGTTCAACCTGGGAATTTGAATAAGGGTTGAACAACAGGAAGGGTGATTACTCTAGAGCTGCTCTGTTCAATAGGGGAGCCGATAGCCACATGAGGTTATTTAAATTTGAATCAATTAAAATGAAATAAAATTAAAAGTTTTTCACATTAGCCATAATTCATATGCTCAATGGCCACATGTGGCTGGTGGCTACTTATTGAAGAGCACAGATATAGAACATTTCTAATATTTCAGAAATGTTCTGCTGGACAGTGCCACTAATCACAGAGATAGTAAGGCAGCTAGGATGCTCGTGGACTCCTCTTCTCAGTTGGAACTTTATCCATGAGGTTCTCTACAAACGTTTAGGAAGGGTATAGATCCATAAAAAGCCAAGAGATAAAAGAGTTGTGATCAGGTTGCTGTTATGCTTCTGGAACTTTAAATGTGCAACCATATCACCTGTAGGTCTTCAATTTGGATACTAAGTTGGGGGTGGAGCTTGAGAGCCAGCATTTATATCTGGCCCCCAAGTGCTGCTGCTGCTGGTAATGGGGACCATCCTTGGAGAATCACAGATTTACAGTGAATTCCAATCTTGTCTAGATATCATTATTACTTGGGTAGGTTTAAAAACCACTGATGCCTAGCTCTCACCCCCAAAGATTCTGATCAGATTTGTCTGGAAGCGGGTAGTCTGGGCATGATAGATTTAAAATATTCCCAAGTGATCACTCTCCTGGTGATTAAAATTTAAGAACCATTAGTGATGATAAAGCAAGTCTGTTAGGTCTGAGGACCTGAAGCCCTGGCTTCACCTGGAAGTTTGTAAGAAATGCATATTCTCTGGCCTAGATCCTGTCCTGCTGAATCATGACCTGCATTTTGAACAGCTTTCCCCAGGTGATACCATGTACATTAAAGGTGAGAACTACTGCACTGGATAGCCTTTCAAAGTAACAGGTTTTTGCTCTATCTATATGCACTTTAGAGAAATTCTTTCAAGTAACAAGTTCTGTTAGTTCCTAAAAATACTGAGGCATATAGTTTAGTCCATCCTTATGACAAATTACTAAAGATTTATTAGATAGTCATTGCACAGACCCAAACTTGGTGGTTTCTGCTTTCATTGTAACAGAATGTATCAATAATCCAGGCAGAGTGGAAACTGTGGACTTTCAAGTCTCAAGCAGAAGGTCAAAAATAAGGAAAGCTTTTAAGGAACTAGTTCCACATGTTTGCATAAAATTTATTATTTGAGATAAATTGCTCTTCTCTTTTTAGGTTAATGCCTTTTGATGTGAGAAAATTGTATACTTCTAATCCATTACCAGATATACAACATAGTTACATTCTTAATTTACATAACTTCTCATAATGCAACACTAAGAGGGGAAGGCAAGGAGGGAAAACAATGTCTTGACCAAGGCGGAAAAAAGTTTCTGTGATTGTGTTTTCCTAGTAAGTCTCTCCCAGTATATTTTAGGGGAATAGTGCCAAAGGTAATTAAGATGTTGAAAGGCCAACTATGTGATGTATTAGAGCAGTGCTTCTCAAACTTGCATGTGGTAGGAATCCCTTGGGGGATCATGTTAAAATGCAGACTGTGATGCAGTAATTATGGAATGGGGCCTGGGACTGTGTTTCTAACAATACAGGTGTTGGGATGCTAAAGGGCCATTGACCACATTTTCAGTAGCAAGGGGTTAGATGTTTCTTTCAGGACACCTTTTTGAAAACTCTCTTCTCTATGACTCAAAACATCAAATGGTCTGGTATAAATAATAAGAAGGTTGATTTTGTTCAAAGTACTGATTTGCTAATTTGAATCATCTAAAAGAGAGACATCAAAAGGTCAAAATTATTCATAGATCCATCATTATCGGGAGGCTAATCGGAAAATGAAGTCATTTAAGGCAAAAGCAAAATAGTAACACAAATACCTCAGATGACTACTAGGGCAAAATTTTCAAAATGTTGCAAGCTGTCTGCATGCTTGAAGTAGCAATTTACATGCATAATTAGGTGCAATCAACAGTTTTGAGATGTAATATATTTTCTGAGCCCATATTTACTTATGACAGATGCAAAAAAAAAAAAAAATCTGTGTCCCCAAAAAATAGAAGGCAGAGAAAGAAAAATATTTGCATTTAACAGTGGGACTCTTTACAAGCATGTGGCTAAATTTAGAACAAATTTGGTTGAAGCATTGTATCTTTATTTTGATTTAATCTTCATTTAAGCCTTGAAAGAAGTTCACAAACACATTTGGAAGTGACAAGCATGTAAGAATAATAACTTACCAGTCAGCTGTTCGAGCTCATGTTGGACCTGACATGTAATTTTTACTTCTACACTGGGGAAGGAAAATCTGACAGATTCAAAACTTTATTGCATAAAACACCACACTGACTTTCTTTCTGTCTTCAGAAGGGGTTTCATTCTTTGAAAATACAAAATACCTTTTAGAATAATTTATATAAAAAAGATTAAACTGACAATTTCTTCCTAAATCGAGGTCCTCAGATGAGTGCTCACAGTGCATTTCTATCATCTTACTATTTTCAGCTTAACAGGCAATGATTGTGGAGTGCTCACTATGCACTAACGCACTCTGCTAAGCACTTTACACACATAATGTAATTTACTGTTATAAAAATACGACAAGAATTGATTTATTACTATGTATGTTTCTGGCTGATGTCTTACAACATAAAGGGTCATATGCCATACAGTGAATTTCAGACTAATGCAAGCTCATTTTATTTTTAATAAGTTCCCAACTTAGAAAATGAGCTTGAAATCTGGTTTTTAGAAATTTTGAAGAGAAGCAAATGAGAAAAAAGTCCCCAAACTTTTTTCTCTGAGAAAGCATGTTCACATTGCAATATCCAGATTGGCTGTCTACACCGATTAAATTAAAGTGGCAATTAATTTCTGTCACATTTACAGGCAGAGTCAGAGATTAAGAGATTGCATTGAAGGATAGGACCCAATGATGTGTTCTTGTGTAATTGCATCTACTGAGACAGTGTCTTTATATGGAAAAGTTGTCTTAAGTTAATGCAAAGCAGTCAGGAACAATGCAATTTTCTAGTTTCATTAGGTAAGCGTTATCTGTGATACATTATATGTTATGGAAAAAAGGCCACCCTCTGCTAAGAAATGCATGAATAGTTCATTTATCTGCTGATCCATTTGGGGGCATTATGGAACTCAAAGCCCAGAACAATGGGCTCTATTTAATATTAAACAGGTTCTTAATAACCTGCTATTTCTCTCCATAGCTGCAGGAGGGTCCCTCCTGGACGTACAGAGTTGCAGTTAGCAGTTCCCGCGAAGTTGTAAGCTACTCCCCAGGACCAAGTGGTGTTAAATTTAGAAGTCATGCTGATCACCTGACTGTCGGTGAGCCCGATTTAAGAATTTCCAAGTCTACCCTTGTCACCTCTATCTACCTATATTTGCAGACACAGCTCGTTGCCCGGCCTGGGGTCACCACCGGAACCTCCTGGAGACCTGCCCTGCGGAGGACGCCCTTCCAGCACAGGAGAGCTCGCCACTTGGGAGCGGCGGCGCCCAATTGGCGCCCACCCCGGGGCACGCTGCAGTCAATGCCTGGCAGCGACTTCTCGCTTCGCCCTCCGCCTCCCCCATCGACCCTCTCTGGCCGACCTTTACGCCCAACTCCGTCGCGCTGCGAGCCTCGCGTCCTCGCGGTCCACGCGGGGCCCCACCCCTTCCCGGTTCCTGCCCGCGATCGGGCCGGAGGCGAGGGTAGGTCGATTTCCTGCCCGGAGCTGGCCGCCGGCTCCGCAGCTTCTTCACTCCAGTTCTCTAGCGCGGGGCTGTGTGGCGCGGAGCCGGCGGCGGCGGAGCAGACCGAGGAGCGGGAGCCCGGGGACACACTCACGCACGCTCCGGAGGGCTGACCCCGGAGACACGCTCGGCGCGGGGGGCGGGGCGGGGCGGGGGGCCGGACCCGCGCGGAGGTGGGGGTCGCGGGGGCTCAGGGGTGGGCGCACCGGCCCCCAGCCCTCCGCATGCTCCCCCTCCCGCCGGTCCTCGCCGCCACCACCTGGCGCAGGTCGGAAACCCCTCCTTTCCTCGGCTCCTCGGCGCCGGGGCGAGGGCAAAGGTGAGGGGTCGGCGCTTGGTCAGCGGGCGGGGATGGTAGGGCTCACTCGCACCTGGCAGCCCCTAGTCCTTGTCCGTATCGCCCGGCCGTTCTTCCAGTAACTTTGTTCCGAAGGTTGGAGGGGAGGGGAGACGCCGAGGGGCCCCAGGAGAGGCTGGAAAGCACCGCGAATCTGGAGGCCCGGCTGGAGAGCAAGTCCCCGGGCGGCCCCGGGGCTGGGCGCGCGGCTGGGAGGCGTCGCCGCCGCCGCCGCCGCCGGGATGCGCTCTGCTTAGCGGGGCTGCCGGGGGCGCCCGAAGGCCACCGCTCCAAGGACACGCGGCCCCCCGCTCCCCGCGCGCCCCGGCCCAGACGCCGCCAGCGCCCGAGCCGAGCGGGCGAGCGGAGCTGCGGGGAGCGCGGGCGAAGGGCGGCAGGAGGGAGGGCGCGCGGGAGGCGGCCCCTCCTCGGCGAGCCATGCGTGCCACGGGCAGCTGAGGAGCCGCCGGGCGCCGCTGCCAAGTCCCCGCTCCGCTTTTGTCTTGCCCTCCAGTGAATGGGAAGATGGAGATGGATGTTGAGGGAGTTTCTCCGCGCCCGGAGCCCATCCCCCGCTCCCAGGGGGCTGGCGGAGCCTGCCAGGCGCCGCCACAGCCGCCCCAGCCCCAGCCCCAGCCCCAGCCGCAGCCGCAGCAGCAGCCGCTGGCTCAGGATGAAGTGCCCGGCGGTGAGAGTGCAGGCGCGGAGGACAGCGACGATCCCGAGGCGAGACCCAGCAGGGAGAAAGGAGAGAGCAAGGTAGGTCCACAGTGCTGGAGCTGTGACACCTTTTGAACAAAACCGAGGATCTCTAGTAGTGGCTGTCACTTTAACCCCTCCGCTCCCCCACCCCCTCCCCTCGTTTGTGTGGTGCTGGGGGTTGCAGATGTGGGGAAGGCGTGCGGTTGAGGGGAGTCGATGGGAGAGAGTGACTTTCCGAACTGGAAGGCGTGTGCGGGAGTCTGTCCTGGTTTCCGTATTCAGAGGTGTGTGCCGAGAAAAGTCTTCTGGTACATGCGATGTGATGCCCAGGGTAGAGCACGGCACCTCCGGAGAGCCGTGTGGAGAGACCTTTGCTTGCCCACACAGTATAACCAAGGCTTATTTAGATGATGTAGGTCAAGGGGAAGCGTGTCTTCGGGAGCTGCCAAGTGGCTTCCGAGACTCCTTGGAGGGAGGTGACATCAACCTTAAGATGGCAACAATGGGAGCAAAGTTTGGCTCATTTGCAGAATGGAGAGCGCTGCCGAACCCAGCTCTCAACTCCTCCTCAGCTGGCGCCCTCCTAGCTAGGAGGGCAGGGACCAGGTGCCTGGCAGCGGAGGAGCCCTGGTAATCTTTTGCTGCCCTGCTGTGTCATTGTAGACCAGGGGATAGCTACTTCTTACTGTGGAGAGGGGAGTTCTTCAGGTAATTGGATTCCAGAACAAAATTGCTCAAATGCCATCATTCTCTGGTGCTGATGTTTCTTCTGTTGAGAAAATTGTAAAGTAAAGGGAATGGCGTAGAAAATACCGCCTTGGTAATCTCATCAGAGTGTGTTTGTTACAGCTTGGTCTCTGAACATAGTCTTCTCCCATTCACGCTTGGAGTTCCGTTTTGTGGAAGCTAGCGTTATTTAGTCGTATCTGTGTAAAGGGTACACATGCGTTTGTCAATACGTGCTCATGTTGGGAAAAAGTTGGTGCAACAAATCAGGATACCCGAACCCAAGGAGGGTCGGTCAGTATACTTTCTCACTTTTGATCCCTTAAGGAAATGTGCAGGAAAAATAGCCGCTTTGCCTGGTTAGAGGAGAATTGCTTGTCATGAGTCCTCCTTCTAGGAGATTGCCTTGGTTTCTGTTGGACCTTCTGGAAGGTCCTAGGGGATTAAACAAATATCCGACACATGTTGGGATCACGTTGAGTGTTGCTGTTCTGTATTTGGAGATGAACTGGCTTAACAAGTTGGTATTTGCAAATGTTCAAAATTGTTTTGCATTTTGAAACTGAGGTAAGGATTGACATTGTTGTTTATCTACCCAAATCAATATTGTAATTTAAATGGCAGTCTACCATGGAACTGGAATTTGAACATCCACTAGACGGAACCGGGGTGCCTGACGAATGTATACAAGATTTACATTGTAAAAACTATGATGAATTTTAATATTCTAATATCCTCAGCTTTCCGGTTGCTCTTGATTTCATGAATATTTAATTCTGTCATGACTGCATATTTACTACTTTAAATGACTGTGCGCTCAGTTTTATGAAATAACGGTTACTGAGTATCATATTATCTAATCGAACTTTAAGTGTCTTTTGCAGAATAGGTGTGGGGAATAATTAAAATATTCAGCCAGTGCTGCCGTTTCCATATTGTTGGTTCATATGCCCTGAGCATGAGAAATTCCTGCCATCAGCAAAAATCTGTGCTTATTTGTTTCCCTTTGATGCACCATGCAGACTGTCTAATGTTCTACTGGTTGTGAGGAATAAGGAAGCCAATGCACTACGAAATTACAGCAGGTGAAGAAAGGCCTGAAAGCGGGTTGATTACATATCGTTAATTAGCATGTTCAGATAATTGAGTATTCCACTGATGTGATTTGCTTTACGTTTGTCTGCAATTTCTTGAGGTGGAAACAAAATATTACTTTTTTCCCTCCAGGTGCTTGCCTTAAAAAATCATGTTGCATCCTTCTCTTAAGCCAGAAATCAGCTGTGTTAACCCTTCGTTTGCTTCTGGTACTCTCCTACTGGCTCTTCTGAGTTTGAGGCCCGTTGCTGTGTTTCAGACTTTAATAACTCTTTTTGTCTTTGATGGGTATGAAGGCAGGTTATAAATTGATCTTTCTTAGCAAATCCTGCTTTCGTTAGTGGGAGGCCTTTGGGTGTCTGACCAAATTATTGTACTAAAATATAAATGGAACACAAAGTGGGATAAAGTGGAGTGTGGTTTTACTCAGCTCTTTGGGGTGAAGTGGGGCTATTTTCATGATAGGATTTAAATACAATATTGTACAAATGTAATGCAATGAACAATTGAATTTTCTTTTCACTCGTGAAACTAAAGAAATAGGAGTTTTGAGTGCTCTATTATTTATCTTAAATCTTCCTCAGAGCAAAGGTACTGTAAATAGGGTATCAGTGAATAAGACTCCCCTCCCCACAAAATAAAGTATCTGGGGAGTAATGGCTTTTTTTTTTTTTTTTTTAAGATTCTGATATGGGGGCCATGATTTATTTTCTTATGAATTTACCCCAGTTGTCTTACTGGAAAAGAAATCAGAGCTCAGTGCCAGATCAGCTTGTCTTCTGAATTGCAGGTGCACGGTTGTACATCCTCAGAAAGTCTCTGAAATGGGAGAAGAGGTTAGAAAACTGGATCAGTCAAAGGATTTTTTACACCAGAGTTTCATGATGTGACTGGCACTTTCTGTTCCTAGAATAACAATGCCTGATTCCTGTCTGTTAAAGCAGCTACATGCTATATATGCTTTGATTCCGTGAATTGGCGTAGACCCTAAATCAACCATTTATGCCTCCTCTCTGCTTTCAGGCAGGTTTATATTAAACCTTTACAAAAACCAGTTTCCTCTTCTTGCAATGACATCCAAAGACAAGTTGGTCCCCCTCTTTGGGGACCTAATGAGGTATTTCCTCACCCATTATCTCAAGCACTTCTTCCTTGTATCAGAAAAGAGTTTCTCTAAACTGGACAGAACTCTTTCCTTCTGGTCTGGCAGATGCATGGTTATGCCCTTAAGTAAGAGACCTTCCTGTCCTTGAAAGAGCTCCCCCCACCCACCCATTTGATCATCCTCAAAACTTTCTTGCATTAGGTCTTAGATATTCCATTTCCGAGGGCTATTCAAGATGTTTCTGAAATGTGTTGCTTGTGCTCACTTCGGCACACATATACTAAAATTGAAATGTGTTGCTTATGCTGCATAACTCTTGGATAAGTATTTCTGAAACTTTCTTTGGAAAAGTTAAAGTCCTTGTGTTGAGGACCAGCACCTAGGAACTCATTCCATCTGTGATATCTAGTTACTTATACAAATGTGTGACTTCTTCCCCTGATCCCAGATGAGTGACGTAAATGACTTTCTGTTCTGCTTTAGCTTCATCTCATTCATGTATTCTCCCCTTTTCTTCCCCTCTCTTTCTCTCTGCCCCCCTCAACACACACACACACACACACACACACACACACAGAACCATTTACCATTTACTGTGAAGTACATGTTTATGGGCTGGATGTGAGTTTCATGACCAAGCTCACTTCTTTGCTCAGTTTTCCTTAAAGCCTTGGTTTGCAAAATATGTTCTTGTGGTTTAGGATTAGAGAGACTCTGTGCTGTTTCCACAGCGACACTTTACTGATGGACATGACTATTCTCATTTCAACAGTCATGCTGTCCTAAATTGGCATCTTATGAAGGTTGCTGTAGGGAATCTCTTCCCCAGCCTGTTGGTACATTTTTTTAAAGCTTTTAATTTTGAAATAACTTCAGATTTATAGAAGAGTTGCAAACATAAGACAGAGAGTTCCCATATATCCTTTATCCAGCTTCCTCTAATGTTAATATCCTTCTTAATCATGCTGCCGTGTATAGCCCAATGAAGAAATTAACTTTGGCACAGTACTATTAGCTCAACTTGTCCAGTCAATGTTTGTTGAATGAATTTGCAAACATATTGATGATTTTCATTTTATCCTTCTAGGGTTTAAGACTTTGTTTACACCTGAGAGATCTTTGAGAGAGTATTTAAGAGCCCAATTTGATTGGGGTTAACTCTTCCCCCCCTTTTTCTGGTGGGTAGGAGCAGCTTGCAAAGTACAAAGTTTGAGGTCCCCAGAGCTCTGCAACCTGTTACAGTGAGCCCTATGGGAGTTACAGCTTTGGCAAAGCTCTTGAGTGCTGTTAACTTATGGGGAGTGATAGTCTTCTTTTTTATTTTATCCTGAAAAACATTCCTGTGCCAGGTAAGATAGGGTTTGTTAGTACACAGAGGACAGCAAAGTCTCAAGTGGCAAGTTGAGGAGAAAAGGCAATTGATAAAATCAAGACAGTTCACTTTGATGCCTAACCCCTTGGGTGTTTGTTGCTGGCATGAAAAATAATGGAAGCCCTTTCATGTTTGTATTGTATTAGCCAGGTGAACTCTGATTTCCAGCACAGAAGCAGAAACTTGCCCACATTTGGCACGATGTCATGGTGATGAAGAGTATTGGCTTTCTGATTAAGAGTGAAATCAGAAAGACCTGCAGTTGCTCTTGGCTCTGTCTTTCACTGGCTCTTAACCTCAGTAAGATCCTGACCTTTCCACGTCTCAATATTTTTATCTGTAAAATAGGAATAATAGTTATTATTATATAGCTTAACGGAGATAAACTGTATATGATTTGTAATTCAGTGCTTCATAGGTACTGACTGCTCAGTAATTGTTAATAATAATTGTGACCATTATTATTACCTTTGTGATCCAGTGTTCTGAAAAGGAGAATGAGTTGGGGCTCCAAGTTCACCTAGAATTTCCAGTTCCCCAGAGGGTTGTGGGGCTGCAAGTGGTACAGACAATCAAGCCAAGCTGGTACTCATTGACCTGATTTTGCCCTGTGGGCCCTGACGTCTATTCCTGGTGGGCAGGAGATTAGGAAAGAGTTATTCTTTATCTTGACTTGTCAACAGACCTCTCTCACCAGGAAAGCCAAGGAAGACCAGGATAGAAGACCCCTACATCCCAGCCCAAGTCCCAGGGGTACAT